AAATGACATTTGGATTTTTAGCTATTGCAAATGAAGCTACTATGACCATGAATTTACAGGTCTTCATGTGGGCCTATGCTTTTGTTTCTCTTGTTAATATGTAGGAGTGCAATGCCTTCATTATAGGGCAGCTGAATATTTCAAATTTTTGCAAATTGCCAAATTGCGTCCTAAAGTGGCTGTACCATATATGATTCATCCAGCACTGACTCCAAGTACCAGTTCTTCCATGTATTCACCAACAATTGCTATGCTCAGTGTTCTTAATGTTTGCGATACTAATAGGCATGTGCTAGTAGAATCTCATTGTGGTTTACCTTGAATTTTCTCTAATGACTCATAATTTTGAGCATTTTTTATGTGTTTATTTTCCACTCATATATCTTCTGTGGCAAAATGTCCATATTTTTGGTCAACTGTAAAAATGAATATTGGTTTATATTTTTATTTTCATTAACAGGAATATAATGAAACAGCAAAGAAATTCGTTGGAATGTCAGTCATTTATCAATGATGTCAGTAATTTATTTGCTTAATGGGGTAAAAATTTTTGAATACTGAAAGATTATTTTCTCACAATTCTGTGCTGTTCCCAGTGGAAAACTACAAACACAATATATTTTTAAATTTAATCTGAGTTAGTCTCCCTTTCTTACATCTTCACAGCCAACGAAACAATAAACTAAGCTCTGAGTTGTAATGTTTACCACACAACCAATTTCAAGCTGCGACACGATGTCTCTGAATGTGAAGCTGGGGAAAGCTGCACAGTAGCACACCCTTGTGTTCTGTTTCTACATATAGATACATTAAATAAATATAATTAACCTCAAAGCACAGATAACAGTAAAATACAGTAAAATAATGAATGGTGAGTTTTGAGTATCTATTAGCTTAAAAAAAGCCCCACCCTTCCTCAAGTCTAAACTACACATATTTAATATGTATAATTTGATACATATTTATACCTATGAAATTTAAGGTTCCTTGAGCCCTTTCTTTGA